CAGAACTAGATGTGGCTCAGCAGGTTTAACAATCTTGGCACTTTGCCTGCTTAACTCCATGTGTGCCTGGGCCATGGGGTCTCTTGGTGATCTGCCCAGAGCCACTCGCAACAGCTCTGAGCACCAGCCTCAGCTAACGCAGAACACGTCAGCCCCCTGAAAGTCCCCCGCAAGGGTCCACAAAGAACCTTGGCTCTCAAGGGTCAAGAACCTTGGGTCTCTAGGTATGATAACGTGATGTCACAAAGCTGGAACAGACCACTGACCCACATTCCAGGGGGACACAGCTCCAGTTCTGCCCATAGTTTAGAGCTGTGTCTTGATTCCTTACTCTGAAAGCAGCAAATTTACCACAGCAAAACCCACTTTTCTTGCCTTCTAAAAGCACAACCTTTACCTGTTGCCTGATACTTGCACCCTGATGCTTTTATGTGCTCTTTCACCACAGGAAGGGCAAGAACTGACCGAGCTGTGTAATTCCCCGCACACACCCCCTGCCGCCCTCAGACGAGACTCTTCCAAATGTCAAGCCAGTTTTGAAGCCAGACCTCCCTGGAGCACAGAGTTAGACTAGATACCCTGCAGAGGTCCTTTCTGCTTTTAGGGTTTATCATGACTCTCTGTGGAATGCAGCACAAGTCTTGCACTAACTTTGCAGGCACTTTGCACAAGCTGAGAGCTGGCTATGAAGGACCTCAGGAATGACAGTCTGAATTAGAACTTGAAGTACAAAACGACCTTAAAACTACCTTGGCATGTCATGAAGAACTATGCAGAGCTACAGCAGCTAAAATACAGTCTTAGACCTGAGACAAGGGCAGGAACAGCAGGATGAGGGTCCTGTGGGGTGTCCTGTTAGGCAGAGAGCTATTACGACAGTCCCTCGGCTTCTTGCTCCCAAAAGGCACTATCTAGCCAAATCTCAGTTTTGAAATTGAGGGCAGAAGCTCTCCTGTGCCCGAGAACCTAAGCAGTGCCTTTTGGAGACGTGTGTCGGTGCACCTGTCTGCTATGAGCTTCCTGTAGAAGGGATCTGCTTTAGCTGGGATGATGCTGAAGTCCAAATGTTTTAAAAAAGAAAACCAGTTTACGTTAAAGCTTCCAGCTTCACTGTTTTGCATGCAAGTAACTAGGATCCTCATTGTAAATGAGCAGCTGTATTTCAGAGGTTGTGATATGATTTCAGTCACCTCCCCCAAAAGGCTGCTTTGGCACAAAAGCAGCACTGGCTGAGTCTCTTGCAGCGGTAACTGCACTGAAAAGCTACAGTCGCTCAGCCTCCAGTTCAGCAAAGCACTCACGTAGCAACTCGTCCTTTCCCACTCGGTGGAACTGATAGGCACGTGCCTCACTTCAAGTGTAAGCGCCTGCGCAGTGTCACAGGGAGCTCAGCTCAGCTCCCAGAACAGACGACAGCAATTCGCACAGGCCACCTCGACTCTGCCATTTGTTTGGTCCTAATGAGGCCCATGTGGGAGTCAGCTCCAAGAAGGGAAAAAACCAGCGACACCCAACTTACAGGAATAAAACCTCTTAAACTTCTTTTGTAAAGGTGATTTTCAACTCCAACAGGCTCTCGAAGCCTTTTCTCTTAGGATTTTCTGTACTCCAATATTTACACTCAAAAACTGTAGACGAATTGCCATGATACTGGACCACAGGGTGGCTCAGCGTCTTTTGATGCCGTAACGTGAAGAGAGAAGGTCTCCTCAGAGCACATTTTAAACCACGTTGGTTGCTGTTCCGCTCTCTCCGGCAAGGTCCTTCTTCCCCAGATATTGAAAAAGACACTGACAAAGCACGGAGAAAAACAAGCCTTTCTCCTCACACGCAGGTGCCTATGAAGCTTATCATGGAGAGTGATTTGCCAGCAGCAAACTCAGATGGAACCACTGACTATTTAAAGCTTCTCACACACACAGGTACAAACTCGGGACACCAGTGATGACGAGTGAACCTGCGACTGCGACCACTGTGTGACAGGTTTCTTTGCATGAGCAAAGGAAAGGCCTAGAACTTTACATTCCTTCTCAGTTGGTTAGGACATGTTTTTTCCAAACTGGGGAAGACCTATGTGACTGTTCCTCAAGCATTCATGACTGCAGATGAAGAGAACGCAGGGATGGTGGGGGAATACTTCTCTGCTAGAAGATTTCAAAAGTGGCAGTGCAACTAACCTGAGAACAAAAAATGAGCTCATCCCCTGACCAATCAAGTCAACTTATCTTCACCTGGGGTTCTTACTAGGCCAAATGCAGCCTAAAACCTATGCCCAGGGTATTAACACATTTTCAGCAGCCTAGAGAAAGCAATACAGATAAACTTGTTGACAACACCTAGGTTTGAAACAGTCACTCTCACCTCAAACCCCTCAGACCAGGTGACGTATTTGCCATTTCTTTCTGTATCTCACAGCACAAAATAACACTTCGAAGTAATTCATAGACTCAGCAATTTCTGCAAATAAGCCTCCTGTTTTACATGAACAATCCTGGTTTTACACTGTAAATTTTTATGGTTCTCAGAAGTTCAGTGGGTAGTTCAGGGAGTTTTGGCTGTGTCCAAGAGAAAAGCATGACAGATCTGTCAGGAGGCTGGCATGGCTAAAGAGGGAATGCACGGCAGAACAGTGCAAAAAAGGATGTGTCCGGGCAGTGGAACTTGGGACAGGTTATGGAAGAGGCTACAGGAAAACTGCTGAGGTGTGTAGCGATGCAATCTGGAAAACCAAAGCCAAGCCAGGCTTAGCAAGGGATGTGAAAAGCACCAAGGAGGGCTACTGCTGCGACGTCAGTAGCAATCCGGGCAAGGAAAGTACGCACGTGCCTGCTGGCCAAATGGGCCGAGCCGGGCGATGCAGTGACAGCAGGCGTGTGCAAAGCTGAGGTAGGTGGGGCCTTCTTCATCTCAGCCTTCACTGACTCTGTCCGCAGGTGTGTCAGCCTTGAGGAAGGGATCGAGGAGTGGAGCAATTACAGCATCAGAGGACGTGCAACTGAGGGGTCTCCTAAGAAATCTTACTGGGACTTGTCTGAGGGTGTCAAGTGAGCTGGCTGATGTTACAGCCATGCCACCCTCTGTCATCTTTGGAAGAGTGTTGGGCCAGGGGGAGGTACCAAAGCCTAGGGAGGGATACACGTGTACCCCTTCTGCCAGAAAGGCGAAAGGATGGGCTGAGGCACTGCGG